ATCAGTCATTCCTACATGGTTCCTCAGATGGTGGTCTCTTCATGGTGCAATACCTGAGATTATTCCACCCAATCTTATGGAACAAGTCAACTATTTTTCAACTGTTTACAAACGTAGTCAACACCAACAGCAATTTCCATGGTTGCTCATTTTTATGTCCAAATACAAAGTTTCTTGGATATTCAAATGGCAATGTGGAATTGAAAATACTAATCTAGTCACTTGGCAACATTTTGTTAAATGGTGAGATAATTTCAAAGTTCCCCGCATTATTGAACAAGTTCAACTTGAGTTCCCAGTCAATGTTCATGCTCCAACACCTGCAATGGTCAAAGTTCAGCAGAACCCAACTACTTCAGTCACTCAAGGAAACCTACTTCCTCCAGTCAATCTTGAAAGTCCTATTGATCCACCATCTGGTACTTCCAAGCCCAAGTCATCCAAAGTTGTTCAACCAACTACCTCAAAGCCCAAGTCTGATAAATTTAAGTCAACTCATTTAAAGCCCAAGGTTAAACTTGGATCATCTAGTGATCAACTGCTCCAGATGGCCCGTCTCCTGATGGATCAGGCCTAGGCCCAATTAAAAGATGAACTTTCTGATGATAAGCCTGCTGCACCGGCCCAAAAGTCCAGTTCATTCAGCTCATCCAATTCAACTGCACAGTCAACCAGCTATGATCCATATGCAGCCCATTTCCAAGATGCTCAGGACCCATATACATAGCTACTAGTCAACAATTGCTCAACCAGTCAACATTGGATTCGATATATATGCATTATAGCTTCACTCACTACTCTTTTTTTGAGAAAAGCTGTTATTTTGTCTATATATTGATTTCCATCAGTTACATGCCACCGAAAGCAATGAATAATAAAAGTCAAATTTACTATTCACTATTCATCAATCAACAACAGTCAACAACAACTATCAGTTTTAGTCAATCAGCCGAAAGCAGCAGATAGCACCCATTTGCTTCATCATGCTCTTTCAGCTCTCAGCTCACGAGGCTCACAGTCACCACATTTGCTTATAAATTAGTCATTCTAGTCAATTGTAATTCAGAGTTTGAGTTTGTTAGGATTTTGAGTGAGAACCAACACCTTTCTTTGATAGTCAGCTTGTATTTTCGATTTTAAAGTTATGTATTTTGAAGCAACTCTTTGCAGTTACTTCTAGTAAACAATTATAAGTTATTTTGATAAATTGTTTAAATTGTTTTGCTTCTAACCCGTTCAATTCTTTCTGTTTCTTTTGTTTTTGTATTCAAGACTCTGTAAACTGTCCCGACATTGATTCCGGTTAGTTTCTACATGGGTCCGACAAGACTCTGTCAACTGTCCCGACATAGATTCCGGTTAGTTTCTACAAGGGTCCAGCAAGACTCCGTAAACTGTCACAACATTGTCTTCTACACCGGTCCGCCATGACCCCATAAACTGTCTTCTACAATGGTCCGACATGACCCCATAAACTGTCTTCTACATCGGTCTGACACCACCATACAGTGTCCTCTACAACGTTATGACACCCCATACAGTGTCTTCACCAACGGTCTGACACGACCATACAGTGTCTCCTATCTTTTTTTATTTTTATGTATTTTCTTGTTTTGCTCCTCTCTCCAAACTCAAGTTGGTTAGTTTCTATCCTCCTTGAGTTTGCGGGGGGCTGTTAGAATTTACCACTCACCTACTACCTCCACTATTTTTCTCCACACCTACCACCTCCACTATCACACACTCCACTACCATCTTCTCCTCTATATATAGGAGTTGTAATATACAGAATATATCAATCTTGTAACACATCAATCAACTCATCAATCAATAATACATTTCTTTTTACAATCAACCCAACTTACCTAGACCTAGGTAGAACAACAGCCAGCCGCGAAGGAGGAGCAGTTCGTCGTCGTCGTCTTCTCTCGTCTCTCATCTTGAACAGCAGCTCAACGGTCGTCGATCAGGTTCGCGAACAGCAGCTCCACGGTCGTCGATCAGGTTCGTCTCTCTCTCTCTCCCTTTCGCTCCCTCTCTGTCTGCCTCTCGCTTGATGTCACTCTCTCTCTCCCTCTGCCTCTCGCTCGATCTGTCTGGTCTGGGTGGAGATGGACAGATCTCGATCTCATCTCCCCCCCTCTCGGTCGATCTCTCTCTCCCTCTCCCTTTTATCTATATCGTCTGTCTTGATGCAAGCTCCATGGTCGTCAATCGTTTTTTTATTTTTTATTTTTTGTATGTATACTTTGTAAATAAAATAAAATAAATCAAATAAGATATATTAAAAAAAAACTTTGTATGTATTCGGTATTACCTGATAAAACAAAATAAATCAAATCAGGTAAAAAAACTTATTAATAAATAAATAAATAAACTTATTAATAAACTTTGTAAATTTATAAAATTATAAACTTTGTAAACTTATTAATAAATCAAATAAGGTAAAAAAAACTTATCAATAAATAAATAAATAAACTTATTAATAAACTTCGTAAATTTAATCTTGGCCATCAATAAATAAATAAACTTATTGATAAATAAATGAACTTTGTAAATTTTTCCCCCCTTAATTTGAATTGCATTATGGTTGTTATGGGTGATACTATATTGTTGAAATTGTTGAAATCTTTTGCTTTAAGTTTTATTTTTATGTATGCTACATTACTAAAAATTGTTGAAATTTTATTTTATGCATGCTACATTACTAAAAATTGTTGAAGTTTTATTTTTATGTATGCTACATTACTAAAAATTATAAAAATAATAAATTTTATGAACGTATCCCCGCCGTATCCGTATCCGTATCCTACTTTTTCAAATTTTTTCGTATCGCCGTATCCGTATCGTATCGTATCGTATTGTACCCGTATCCCGTATCCGTATCCGTATCCGTGCTTCCTAGGTTAAAATATTTAGTTGACCCTATTCTTCTAAACAATATCTAAATATATTGTGTTTTGAAACTAAATCACCTTTAATCAAGTTGGTTTGTGTTTTGAGATATTATTTCAAAAATAATTTTCTGGGGAAAGTTTAGAAAATTAGAAAATTTGTTTGGTTGTTGGGATGATTTATTTTTTTTTGTAGTTGAATAGATGGGTGTAAGAGAAAAAGTGATTGAGAAGCGGTTGGGTACTTTATGTTTGTGCATGTGTTTCCTGTGGGGGTGGCAAAGCAAAGCGGTTAGAGAAGTTGCAAAGGGACTTTTTGTGAAGTGGGGGTGCAGAGGGTTTTCATTATCATTTGGTGGCTTGGGAGAGGGTTTGTACTTGAAGGAGCGGGGGGGTTTGGGTGTGCGGAAATTGGTGGTGTTTAATTGGGCTTTATTAGGTAAGTGGTTGTGGCGTTTTGTGGAGGAACAAGAGAGGTTATTGAGGAGGGTGGTGGCGGCTAAGTATGGGGAGGAGTGGGGGGGTTGGTGTTCGAAGAGGGTGGTTCAATCTCATGGTTGTGGTTTGTGGAAGGGAATTTGGTTGGGAAAGGAGGTGTTTTGGGATAGGGTACGGTTTAAAGTGGGGGGTGGTGAGGGAGTTCGCTTTTGGCAAGATCGATGGTGTGATGGTTTGACTTTGGTGGCCATGTTTCCTTTGATTTTTGCTATTGCTGCTGCTGGGGAGGAGTTGGTTGTTTCGGTTCGGGAGATCCACGGGGCATCATTTGGTTGGAATGTTCGTCTTCATCGTCACATACAAGATTGGGAGCTCGACCAATTGGTAGATCTTCTCAGCTTTTTGTATGGACTGCATAATGTGGGGGATGGGATGGATTCTTTTGTATGGAATGTTCGAAGCTCTTAAGGGGTCTTCTCAGTGTCCTCTTTTTATGGGGTGCTTGTAGGGGGAGGTGGTGGGGTGTTTCCTTGGAAATGTATTTGAGCTACTGGTTCTCCATCTAAGGTTGCGTTCTTTGTTTGGACAACATTGGGGCGTGTCTTACTATTGATAATTTGATCCGGCAACGGTATGTGTTGGTCAATTGGTGTTGTATGTGTTGTAGGGACGCGAAAACGGTGGATCATTTACTCCTTCATTGCCCGGTTGTGTCTAGACTTTGGAATTTTCTTGTTGCTTTGTTTGGCTTAGTCTAGGTGCAGCTGGGAACTTTAATGGGAGTGTTACAGAGTTGGGTGGGGCTAGGGTGCGAAAGCGGTGCAGGAAGGCTTGGGTGGTTGCTTCCCATTGTTTGCTTTGGTTGGTTTGGTTAGAACGGAATAGGCGAGTGTTTTAGGATGAGTGTCATTCCTTTTTTTGGTTAGAGAGTCGGTTGTTGATGATATTGCATAATTGGGTTACGGGCACAGTCGATTCCAATGTTTTGGTCTTCGTTGATTTTGTGGAGGGTTTGATTAGATAGTTTTGTTTTTTCCTTTCGTGTTCAGTTCTATTATTTGTATCGTCTTGATGCTTTCTAATAAAGTTTGTTTATTTATCAAAAAAAGAAAAAGTGATTGAGAAGGAGAAATGAGAGAAAAAATGATTGATTGATGTGTAGTAGAGAGAAGTAATTTTGGAATTTTTTTTTAAATTTTTTTCAACCAAACATGTTTTTGGAATTTTTTCCTCCAAAAATATGTTTTGAGAGACAAACCAAACATGCCTTAAGGTTTTGTCTTTGATGGATTCATGATTTTATTCTTGTGCTATAAATCAGCCATCTTGACCTTGCATCTTCTTGCTTTAAAAGGGTAACAAATGGGTTTCTGTTGGCAGGTGTTCATTGATGAGTTGGATGCCATTGCGCCTGCGCGTAGGGATGGAGGAGAAGAGATGTCTCAGAGAATGGTTGCAACATTATTGAATTTGATGGATGGGATTAGTAGAACTGATGGCTTACTTGTCATAGCTGCAACCAACAGGCCTGATAGTATTGAGCCTGCACTTAGACGGCCAGGAAGACTTGACAGGGAGATTGAAATAGGTGATTTAAAATCTTCTTTCCTCGATTTTTTAAATACCTTAAACTGTAATGAATGTTTTCTGCTTGAGACTGCACATGATAGTTCTCTCTGTATGGTTTTGTTAAAATCCACCTACTCTCCACCTACTTCACCCACTTAAACCTACTCCACTAAACCTAACCCACTACACCACTACCACCTCACCCTACTTCACCCACTTAAACCTACTCCACTAAACCTAACCCACTAAATCCACATACTCTCCACCTACTTCACCCACTTAAACCGTGTGCAGTGGAAGAGCTCCTCAGTCAAGCAATGGATCACTCTGTTCTTGAACAGGTTGCCGCCATTAACTGCTCTGGTTTCACTTCCGACTCTGTTCTTCCGTCTCACCTCGAGACTCGCTTCCGCAGGCTTAAGTCCTTACCAACAACAACCACAAAAATGTCTCCCACTCTTGCCAATCACAAGAACAACCCTTCTTCTTCAAGCTTCAATTCACACTTTCCCTCTGCATACTGAACTCTCTCAGTCACTCTCTTCTTCTTCTCTCTCTAAAATCCATTGCTGAGAGAGAGAGAGAGAAACCCAGAAAAATGCGTTTCCTCCTCCTCTTCCTCCTACTCCAGTTCCATCTCCACAGCTCCGCCGCCGCCAAACCGAGTCGCTTTCCGGCCTAAACCTCACCGCCTTCAAGTGATGATATACTTCTACACCCATCTTCATGGCTTCTGTGAAAAAAGAAGCCCCAACAGGAAGAATCATAAACTCCTGCATTGCCAATTTGTTGCCAGCATGTGAACCCCCATTGATGACATTGAATGCAGCTGTTTGGGTTTGCAGACAAGTATAGAGGGTCTTACCAGGGTTCATGCCCTTTCTATTGAGACAAAGTACAGAAGGGACAGGTTCTCTGCATCATTGAGGCCATGAAGTTGATGAATGAACCCACTTTCAACTCCACATTCTTTTTTTTTTTAATCAACCCACTATCTCTCTCTCTGGTTCCTTTTTCTCTCTCTCTACTCAAGGATCCACCACTTTGTCCACTTTCCAACCCCTTCCTTCACCTTTTGCACTCCACTCACCATATCTTTACCGATTCAGGGGACAAAGCATATATATCTTTTATTATTATAATATATTACCCACACTATTATCCTTCACTCACCCTATATCTACTGATTCATCAATATATCTATATAATAATTTTTTCACAAACCTTTATTTTATTTTATTTTTATTTTTTTCTATCTTTCTTTTTCATCAATATTTCAATATTCTACAACTCAGTTGGTGAGTATCATCCTTTTTCCATTCTCTTTTTATTTTATTTTATTTTTATTCCAATACCAAAAAATAAAAAATAAAAATAAAAATAAAAATAATCCTTTTTCCCTTCACTCTCTCATTTTTCAAATATATTATTATTATTTCTTTCTTTCACCTTATTTTTTCTTTTTCATTATTATTTTTGCTCCGTATTATTCCATTCATACCATATAGCTTTGCACACCAAACCATATTTTATTCATCTCAAGGATCAACCCCGATCACAATTTTACACAAAAAACAAAAAAAAAAAAAACCACAACACCCACAGATTTGTTTTCTTTTCTGCAGACGGCCACCCACCGACCTCACTTCTTCGCCTATTCCGCCGGTCTCTTCTTCTTGCCTCCGTCCTGAGCGGCCCTTGACGGTGCTGCCTCCGTGTTCCCACTCCACTGGGCACGATCACTACTCCCTGCTCCTCCACTGCACGCATATGGCGGACCTCCAAAACGGAACATCACGGTGCTTCGCTTCAGCTCCTTATTTTCCGCCTTTAGCACACTTATCTCTGCTCGCGCATCCTTATACATGCGTTGGAGCAGAGCCAGCTGGGAGTTTAACTGCTGCACCTCATTTGCCCTACTCTGCAGCCGGTTCGACAAGTTTGTAACCGCAGTCATGGTTTCCACACATGACTTCAATGTATACTGATTGGCTTCCACATCCGACTGCACTGCCATTCTTTGCTCCACAGACCGCATCGGAAAGTTCAACGGAGCAAACTCCGGGGCGCTTGGTTGAGGTTCCAGTGCCACCGCACCAGTTTCTCTCTCTTGTTGACTCGTTGAGGTCGGGAAAGAGGGTGAGCAGACCGCGGGACGACGAAGCCATTTTCTGGGCAACAGCGTGTTACAGAATATTACCGAGTTTTCTCTCTCCGACAACAAAAGTTTGTTTTTCAGAGTTTTTTCTCAGTTTCTTGTCTCAGCCTCTGCCTCGGCCTCCGCCTCCGTCTTGGTTAAATAGCCGGGGCAGCCAGCGTATCGCGCGCCACGACGCCAGACGACAAACGGGCGCGCCAGCCAAGGCACTCACGTGCCTCGCCATCATATCTGGCAACCTTTTTATGGATTGATGGCACGCCTTTTGATGGCACGCCTTTTATGGATTGGGCACGCCTTTTGATGGCACGCCTTTTTTGACAGATTGGGACACCTTTTGAGGGTGCGACTTTTTATGGGTCCGACAAGACTCTGTAAACTGTCCCGACATTGATTCCGGTTAGCTCCTTCATGGGCCGACAAGACTCTGTAAACTGTCCCGACATTGATTCCGGTTAGTTTCTACATGGGTCCGACAAGACTCTGTAAACTGTCCCGACATTGATTCCGGTTAGCTTCCTTTTATGGGTCCGACAAGACTCTGTAAACTGTCCCGACATTGATTCCGTTAGTTTCTACAAGGGTCCAGACATGACTCCCGTAAACTGTCCAAACACTTGTCACAACGTGTCTGCTACAACGGTCCGACATGACCCATAAACTGTCTTCTACATCGGTCTGCACCTACAGTTATACCCCCATACAGTGTCCTCTACAGCGTTTATGACACCCACCATACAGTGTCTTCACCATGGTCTGACACGACCATACAGTGTCTCTCTATCCTCTTTTATTTTTATGTATTTTCTTGTTTTGTTACTCTCTCCAAACTCAAGTTAGTTAGTTCTATCCCCTTGAGTTTGCGGGGGCTGTTAAACACCTACTCACCTACTTACTACCCACTAAACCTAACTCCACTAACTAACCCACTCACCACCACTCCACTTTCACCTACTCCATCTACACCTACTACACCTACTCTTCCTATATATCTATATAAGGAATCATTGTTAAAATTCTAATAAACATCAATCAATATAAAATACAATCATTTCTCTTTATACATTAAATTTCTACAAGAACACTAGGTTTAACGTGGTTTGACCAATATTGGCATACATCCACATACACAAGCCCTATGGGCTACATCTTCATTCTCTCACTTGACTATTCTTGTTTTACGATGATACACCATATTAGAAATTGGGGAGACACAATCAAATCCCTTCAGTTAAAGTGGTTGCAATAAATCAAAGATATAAAAAAATGCATGGATAAGCCACAAAATCATGGCATCTTTGTATATCTAATATTCTTTAACAAGATAATCCTTATCTTCAACCAATTTTTAGTGTAAGAGAATAGATAAGAAAAAAATTCACATAAAACAATCAAAGTTGCCCATGTAAAAGTTTGAAGTGCAGAGAAAGTGGTAGGGGGATAGGGAATGGAGATAGGGGTTAAGGGATAGAGTCACTCCCATAAGTTCTGTGGAATGAAATTGGATTTGGTATGCTGGTTGTTAAGTATCAGGCACAAAAACTCTGGGTGTCTTCAGAACTTCAGTTCTTGCTTAGTATTTATAAATTTGGAGAAGGGAGAGATAAATCCTATTTTTTGTTAAATGCGTTGAAGTTAGTTTCTTAAATCTTGAGGATTGGATGCAGAAGATAAGTTGGTTCTCTTTTGCTTTTCCTTTTATTTAATATATTTACTTATTTATTTTGAATATATTAACATGATTTGTTTCATTAAAATAATATATTTACTACCTCAAAGGAAATGAACTTTTTGGTTGTAGCCTATAGCTAAATACATTTTTTATTAACTATGCTGCGTTACACTTTAACACAGTGTCCATCAGTTCAATCAATAACATAGTTCCAGCATGATTCAAGTCCAATCTAACAATTCATTCAATGAGCAATTCAACCAACAAAGCTCTAATCAATCCAATCAATAGAGAGCATCAAATCTCAAAACTCAAGAGTTTACTGTGGAAAACCCTATGCGAACTGTCCTTATGGGATGGAAAATCACAATCCAATCCAACCTCCGATAATATTTACTATTGACTCAAATTGTACAAGGCATAATTAAAGGATTTACAACATCTTGCCCTAGTTATCTACAATTTGAGCCCGCCACGAGTTTCAAAAAAGCTGATTTCCACTCCAAAGAGCCTTGACAAGTCAAGCTCTGTTGATTCAACAATCACCATGAAGCTCCAATCTCCATCCCCAATGATTCTGTGTCAACGCAGACTTGCGTGTCGTAAGGATATGAGGTATGTGGAGTTTTTGTGAAAATCAATTGAGAAGAATTAATTTGAATCAAAGTCATCATAAAAAAAAACGCCTTAAATATACAACATTAATGTGTGGTTGGAGGGAAAAATTGGATACACACCAACCTTTAGTATAAATTAGTACAACAAATGGTTGTCCGAGACTTAAACCCGTAAACCTCAAGGTTATTAGGCTAAGGTTTTACCATTGAACAAACTCATTAATTGATGAACTCTAAAATTGAAGAACATATGAGACTCATCAACGCAGTCCTTATGATCAAGCATAGAACTATTCTAGAGAGAGAAAATGCATCTTTAAGCTGCTATAATTTCATAATTGATAATAAAAGATAGAAGATTCTTTGTTCAAGACCAAAATGGTCATATAATAGACCTCTGCACCTAACGACAACTCAAGCCCATGTCAAGCACCTGTCGAGCATAGCCCTGGCAACTTTAGCGTGCTCGAGCCCAAGCGCATGTAAAGCACTAGTTGAATTGAGTTGAGTTCATATTAGTCTTATATTTTCTCTTTTGTCATTATTTGTTCTGTTTAATAGTTGTTTAATTG